ATGCTTTACACTGGAGTTTGACACAACATTGTAAAATGACTATAACTCAATAAAAAAAGTTAAAAGAAATTTCCAGGATAACCACTAAAAATATTATATAATTAGGAAGATAATAAAGGACAATATCTCAATTAGTGGAATGATAATTTAATGAGATAATTCTTAATTAACAGAATAATACTCAATGAAATCAATAAAGTAGAAGATTTCATATCAGAATCATTCATAGACAAAGATGCTGAGGGCTACAGGAGTTCAAGCAAGAATTCCTGCCTTATGTCTTGGATCCTTTCTGGGTACTCGGGGGCCCATAAAGTATTGAGGATGGATATTGAAGTATGAGAATGCATAATTCTAATCTCAAAAATGGAAGCACTCTCAAATGCCTCCAAGTGACAGTTTTCTTGTGTTTTTCTTTTCCTATCAACAACTCTCATTTGCAGACTAGTTTTATTTACATCTGTCAGTTGGTCCTTTTCTTAAAAACTATTTGGGGTCCCTTGACTTCTTCATAATTCGTACTGATTCATTTATCTCAGATGTGTGTGTGTGTGTGTGTTTATATAAATATATGTGTGTGTGTGTGTGTGTGTATATACACACAAATATATTTATAGTTGAGTAACCCATAATGTATTTTCCTCAACTTCTTTTTCTAGAAAAGTAGCCATGTGGTTTTGTATAAGGAAGCCACATTAAGGAGCCTTAGCTTCATGTTATTCTTGCTCTCCATTTCTCACAGTCTCAAGTGAAGACCTAAAATAAATTGTCAAGGTCTTTTTGCTCTGTTTCCTCCCCTAAAGACACATACGTTTCTATAAGGACTAGTTTAACCTCATGTGGAACTGAAGGTTGTTGATTCTTCAAACCACGTCTATATCTGAGGCTATAAGCATATTTATTATCTTAATTGCTATTTTCAGTAGATCTTCTGCAGCAGGACTTTGCAGTCTCCAGATATAATTCCTATAATCATCTTATCACTGACTACCCTGTTTAGGCTGAAGGCCCCATATTGTTCCTACAAAAGAAGGGATATCTAACCCCAAATTTTCTGAACAGAATATGCTCCACTTCCAAAAGGCCCTTACCTTGGGAAAGAGTAGTTTATGTTCCATGTTGGTAATAGTAATAAATATGACAAACACCACAAGTGACACAAGAAACAAAACAAAAGAACCCAGGGATAGCACATGCTGCCACAGACTTTGGTTAGATCAAAGAAAGGTGAGTACCACTGAACATACAATATATTGCACAACAGAGAAGGAATATGATTTCCTTTAGAGTTATATGTTTATAGAAGTGATGGGAGCTGCAGGGATCATCTGAGCTGAGCTAGATTCACCAAATGGTCCAAGAGGCTAACAAGTTTGTTTCTCCACAATTTCAAAATACATACAATGTAAAGACAGTTAAGGTTTAAAAAGTATTTTGATCACAGATATATAAAAAAAAACCAAATTATAAAAACTGGAGAGAGTTCTAGGACATAGAAAAGAAACTGTGGTTACCAGGGGGGAAGTTGGGTTTGGGAAGGTAGGGATAGATTAGGAGTTTGGGATTAATAGATACACATTACTGAATATAAAATAGACAATGAGGACCTGCTGTATAGCAAGGGCACTTTATGCAATTTCTGGTAATGAGCTCTAATGGAAAAGAATGTGAAAAAATATATACGTATGTATATGTATAACTGAATTGCTTTACTGGACACATGAAACTAACATTAGAAACTGACTACACTTCAATAAAAAATAAGAATTATTTTAAAAATTGGAGAGAGTTGAATTGATGTCATCAAAAAATAGACTAGGAATTTCTAGGCTTTTCTTCCCAAAAAGGAAACATTGAAAAAAATTAAATACTAGCTAAAATAACTTTATAGATGTTCTGTTAAACAGTCAAAGATCTAAGCAATCAAGGGAATGCCCAATCAAGAAAAAAACAAAACAAAACACATTCATAACAGAAAGTTTCACGGTATTTAGACAAACCTTTAAAGCAACGGTACTAAATATGCTCAAGAAGCTAAAGAAAAATAATTACAAAAACTAAAGGAAAACAGAAAAACTATATATGAACAAAATGAGAATTTAAAAAATGTAGGTAGAAAATATCATAGAAGAACCAAACAGAAATAATAGAGGTTAACAGTACAATAACTGAACAGGAAATTTTAGTACATGAATTCAAAAGAAGATTAGATCAGAGAGAGAAAAGTATAAGTCAGCTAGCTTGAAGATGGGATATTTGAAATTGTTGCATCTGAGGACCAGAAAGGAAAGAAGAATGAAGAAAAGTGAAGAGAACTGAAGAAACTTCTAGGATACCATCAAGAAGACCAACAGAAGCATTACAGTCACCACACACAGCAAAGAGAGAAAGGGGCAGAGATTATTTGAAGAAATAAGGCCAAAAAGCTTCCCAAATTTGATGAAACACATGAATCTACAAATCCAAAAAGTTCAAGTAGGTTCAAGTTCAGTGAGAGCCGCAATGAGACAGACAATCAAACTGTCAAAAGTCAAAGCCAAAGAGAGAATCTTGAAAACAACAATCTTGTTATGTACAAAGGATCCTTGGTACAATAATGTTGGGGCTCAAATGACAGAAGGCAATAGGATAGTAAGTTTGGAGATTAAATTTTAACTAAATTATTTGGATTTTGATACTACACACTGCTGAAATTTTCAGAAATGCTACTAAGACGGTCATTTAGGATCGATCAACCTACCATTCTTTGTTCAAACATTATGCATCAGTTGAATACACTCAATCAGTTCAATACAGTTTGTGTAACATGTGTGGTTGATACTTCACAACGTACGACACAGAATATTTCCAACCACAGACTTGCTACTGCTTGAAATAACAGTTAACACTTACACTAGTCTTGATGTAACCATAGAGTCTTGGAGATGAGGTGGATGGTTATGGAGTAGAGGGAACAGCATTTCTGATTAAAAGAACAAGCAGCAACTACAAAGTCAATTGGGAGTCAAAGCAGTGTACCTGGCCGAGGGACAGAAGAGAAAGCTTAAGGAGAGTAGAAAGAAATCAAAAGTGAATTGTACAAGCCTGGATTTGGGTGATCCTTGTCACTTTAACATCATTGTATGTGTTGTTCTCAATCAGGCAAGTGTGACCACAGGAAACCACACTAAATTCAGAATCATGACAGCTTTTCTCACTAACAGAGGAGGATGGACGAATTGAGAGTTAAACACAAATTTAAAAAGCCATGAGAATCATAAAACATTGATTGGCTTGTAGATACTCTAGTCATATTACATGAGATCTTTTTTTTTTAACCTGGAAATTTCTATTAATATAATAAAATGTGTAGAAGATAACATATTTTGTAGATGGAAACAATGAAAAGTAAAGACACATTGGAAACAACACCTAAGTTGCTTTGGGGAAGGGTTTCAATAATACCAAACAAAAATTATCCTGGTTGCTATTAAGTAAAATGATTTTTTTTAGAAAAAAGTGAACTCTTGGTGAAAAGATTTATCGCCTGTCCAAATTTCCTGTTGAAACCTTGTCACCACAGAAAAGTGATTGCATTCAACAGAAAGTTTTCAGAACAGGCAGCTCACCCAAGAAGACAAGAGAGCTATCGTATGGCAAAATTATGCCTGAAATAAAAGGTGAATCAAACAGCCGTGATTTTGCTGAATGTATTAAAAGAATCAACTCGGTCTTAGCAATCAGTTGCAAGACTCTGTAGTTAAATGTCAATTTTAGCAAGAACAAAATTTAAATTTAAAACTTATTTTACAAGTAGAAGTCAAATTTCTACATAAAGAAGGGTTCTTCTAATCCAGGATCACATGAGACACAGCCAGCATGGGCCACACACAGCACCACAGTTTCACAGTTTCACCGTTTCCACAGCCAACCAGCTTCCAGTTCAGTTCAGTCAATGGGAGCAACTGGCTTGACATTTGGAAGGTGAGAAATGGCGAGACGCCTGGTGTTTTTGCTTTTCTCTCTCTGCTTCAGGCTACATCTCCTGCTGCCATGGCTACACATGCTGCGTGGATTTAACTCCTGCCAAACAGCAACTGTGTCCCCTTCCCAGCTCCCACCAGGCTCCACCCACTGTGGTCTCCATTCCCTCAAGTGGCTCTGGGGAGCCCCCCAGCTCCCTCGGCTCCTCCAGCCCTAGGAGTGGTGCCGCTCTCTGTTTTGCTCATCTCTGGGTTGTCTTCTTTCTCCTGTTTGTCTTTTCAGGCTGTCTGACTGTTTTGTAAATAATTTCCTCTACACAATGTCCTCCATTTAATGACCTGGCATGGGCTTTGTCTGCTTGCCTGGACCCTCACCACTTCCCCAGCCTCCTTCAAATAAGGTCCAAACTATGAACTACACCCTTGCTTCCCTGACCAGTCCTCCGGTTTCATTTCCTGTCCCTCTCTGCCTCAGTGACTCTGCTCTGGTCACGATGCTTTCTTGCTGTTCCTCAAACAAACCAGGCAGGCTTGCACCTCAGAGCCTTTGCACTGTTCGCACAGCTCCACCTGCAGATATTGTAGAGGCTTGCTCCTTCGTTTCATTCAGGTCTTACTCTTGTTAAATCCCCATGGAGTCCTGTACCTGCAGCTCTCCCCACATGGGCAACGAGCTTCCCCTCGTTTATTGTCTGGTTAGGATCATTCCCTCAAACCAAAGACATCCTGTGCTCCATACCTTCTGTTCAAGCTCTATATGTGACCAGGCAGGATTCCTGTTCAGCATCTGCATTTGTTTGCTCTTGCTACTATAATAAATCACCACAACCTTAACAGAGGAAAACAACCAAAATTTATTCTATTATAGTTTTAGAGGCTAGAAATTGGAAATGTCTTGTGGGGCTGATGTCAAGGTTTCATCAGGACAGTCTTCATCTGTAAGCTTCAAGGGAGACTCCTTTCCTGGTCTTTTTCAGTCTCTTGCAGCTGCCAGCATTCCTTGAACTGTGGTCACATCACTCCAATCTCCATTTCCAAAGCCACATCTATTTCTCCCCCTCTCCTTTGATTCCTTGTCAAAGCACACTGTGTTTCTCTCTCATAAGGACGTTTGTGATTACGTTTAGGACACACCTAAATAATCTGAGATAATCTTCCCATTTTAAGATTCTTAATTTACAAGCTTGGATGTGAGAGATCATTACCACTTCATCACATCAGTGCTGTTATCAGTCGAGCCTACATCGTCACAGGTAACAGCATTAGCATCAGAATCATGACTGGATTTTTCTTTGGAAGAGGAAGGATACAAGAAAGAAGAGACAGAAAACAATGTGAAATGATATGAGGCTACAAAATCTTTAATGTAACAAAAATGAGAAATAGCATAGTGATGAGGAAATCATTGATGCAAGTCATACATGGGACCATGTAAATGTTATAGTCATATCCTAAATGATATATTCACTTTCTAGAGATTTCTTCTCAAGTGAGTCCTTTGGGTAGTATGTTTTTGAGAAGGAAATAATGGGGAAGTAAATGCATTATCAGGAAAAATTCCTGAATACCTGTCATACTTCCTACTTATATGAAACAATCTTTTGAAAACTTGAATTATTCCCCCTAAGAGAACTAAATTGTGATTGAACAGGAAAACTTATCAAAACAGATATACACGCATTCATATTAGATAAATAGAAAGCTAGATCATGAGATCAAGATAAAAATAATTCCTGAAATAGTCGGTGAATGAAACGTGCATGATTTGCAGAACGTTCTACAGGAAGCAATCCATTCTTAGCAACCAGTTATAAAACCTTCGTATTTAAATGGCAGTTTCAGGAAAGCTAAGAATTTATTTTAAAACAATAGTTTTTAAAATCCATGGTTGTCAGGAGATAAAACCTTATGAGGTAAACAAGAGAACCAACAGACAATAAAGAGGATTCACAACAGTGCCAGCTCAGGGATTGTGTTAAATATAAGATGTAGTCACAGTATTTTTTTAAGTAGAGACGAATGCCAAATTCCTGCTATATTTTTTGGGGGGTTGAAAATACACACACACACACACACACACACACACACACACACCACTTTCTGGGGACAGTCTTGTTCAGAGACCAAATTGCCTTACCAAGAAGAAGAAAAGTAGAGTCACACATTTCTTTTATAAATTTTTGAGGCGGCCATATCAAAATTCAAAAACAACCAGATACCCCAGTATGGTAGGGAGCATGGTGGTCGACCAGATACCTTAACTGCTAGCCATTTTGAATGGCTTTATATTAAAATGATATCAATGATCAGAATGTAAATAATCTCAAATACTGGAAACCTGACCCAGATTAAAGCCGAGTTGCTGGAATTGGTTGATCAGACTGAAATAATAACACTGTTGCTTAGAAAGGTGCTGACAGCCGTAAGACAGCACTGATAACTCCAAGAAAGGGTCAAGTGTCCCATGTAATTAATCTACCAGGAGTGGGTGGGGGGCCAGTGCCTGAAACTTTGTTGTCTCTTCCACCAGAAAACAATGGGGTGGACACTGGGAGTCATGGGTCTGGCAAGCAAGACCTGTGCAATCAGAAACTGAGCTCTATATTTTGTGCCCCAGTTTATGATGGAACTGCACCAAAACCAGAGTGAAATCCGTGAAGATGGTGGAAATGATATAATCACTTCTGGAAATACTACTCTAGAAGTAAGGCAGCCAAAGAAACTCTAAGACGCCAAAAATAAAATCTTGTCCATTTAGGGAAACAAAATCAGTGAAAATTAGTATCACATTTTTTTTGACTAAAATCTGAACATCACATATAATTACATGGATGGATCACAAAACATTACACTGAGAGAATAAATATTTTATACAAAACATGCTGTATTATTCCAAATTCCCGAAAAAGAATACGTAAAATTAATCTATAGTAGAGAAGCTTCAGAAAAGTGGGGAGGGACCTAATGGAATGAACTTGAGGGAATTTGGGGGGAAATAGTATTTCCTTCATCTTGGTCAGGGCTTGGACTGTAGGACAAACTCATTGAATGGTGCCCTAAAATTTACGGATTTCATTGTATGTAAATTTTACTTCTAAAGAAAAAGAGAATTGCAAACAAGTACTGAAATCCAGTCAGTAATGTACATGCTGTAGGGCACAGGGTTCCCCCACGTGCACTGATATCTGGAAATTAGTTTGAAATGAATAAGATGTATTGATGAATGGATAAAGGCAGGAGAGACAGAAATGTGTAGAGAAAGCATAGTAAAATATTAATGGTATAATTTTGGTGGGATGTACATCTGTGCTTGCTATCAAATTCTTTCACCATTTCTGTTTTGAAACTTTCACAATATAATGATGATCTGAATGTCAATGTTTAACTTTATTTTAGGTTCAACAGCGTTTCAGTTTCTTCTTCCAAGGATACTATTGGAACACACTTCAGGGATATTTGGACAAAATGCATGTAAATTATGTGTGATTTTGCATGTTTATAGTTACGAATAATTCAGTTATATTATTCACTGACGTCTAACCAGGGTGAGCTGTCACAAGGCATGTTAAGTCTTCAGATTTGACCATAAAAAGATGTATTATAGTAGCATGTGTGCTGCATTGTTTTCTAAATCATTATTTAACTTGAAAAGAATCAAGTTGAAAAATTTTCTATCACTATATGTAAAAGATAATATATAATTAATAACATATATTAAATAAATACAAACTCATATATAATAATTCCAGTTTTATTTAGTTTTCTCAAAAATAAAACTTCTCTTTTTCTTTTGTAGGGTATACAGAGAATTCTTGAATATTCTTATTTTGTTTTTGCTACCTTTCTGTGTCTAAATACCTCTCTGTTTTTTGTTTGCTTTTTTGTCAAGCTTTGGAAGAGTTCATAACCTCTATATAAGGGCAATTATCATATTTTATAACTGTAAGAATCACTAAATTTTTGTGGGGGTTTGCTTTTTATTTTTTTATCTTTTTTTTTGTCTTAGTGTTGCAACTATTTGACAATAATTTACATTTCTACTGACTCACAGCCTATAAAGGGTAGTTGGCCATTCTTCCTTCATGTGGGTTCAGAAAAGACCTTATATGCTAAATGGATAGTCCCTGAAATAAGAAAGGCTATTGTCATCTCAGGAATAAAAACAATTGCCTATTACAAAATAAAGTGTCTATTTCTCTTCAGAGTCTGTTGACAACAGCGTTCCTGAATTTTACAGCAGTTGTCATATTCAGGAAAGTCTTCTCTCTGTCCACAAGAGTAACTCTGTCAGCATGAATGCCTTATTGACAAATAGGCAGGAATATATTAATATTGTAAGTAAACTTTTTAAAAAAATCCTTATGAAACTATATATCAGAGTAAAAATCTAAACTCTGAAAAGTCGCTCACTGATCTGTATTTTTGTTCAGAATGACCATCTAAGAAGGGAAATATTTAAATAAGAAAAGTAGAGTAAACTAGGTGTGGAGGAGTGAAAGGAACTGATAAAATTAATTTTCCCACGTTGAGGTGTGGGGAAGTCATTCCGGCTTACATATAAGTTTACTTGAATTTGATGCCGACTGAAACAGCCCGTGGCCCATCACACAGACATTGTACATCTGCTTTAATTACTGAATAAAAGGGCGCACTGGCCAGAAGTAAAGAATGTCCATGTTAAAAATAAAGACTAAATGCTTCCCTTCCTGAGATGTCAATGCTGGTCCTTCTTCAGTGATGACTCCCTTCCCAGGTTCGAGGCTGTAGTGACTCCCTGTGTAAATACTGTTTTTTTTTTTTAATTCATGAAGGAATGTATCCCGGACTTGACTGATGTTCTTTGTTCTGACAAGATATAAAACCGTGCTGAAAACCATACTTCTCCACGACCGTCGTCTGAGAAGTTGTCTTCTGGGCTATAGTCCTCACTTGGGCTCAACTCTTTTCTGTTCCTCTTATAGATTGTTTATTGATTATTTTCATCAACAGAACTGCTTGGACTAACACTAAATTGAGTACAGTTGGACCTCTGTATCTGTGGGTTCTGTATCCTTAGATTCAACCAACTGTGAATAGAAAATATTTTTTTTAAAATCTGGAAAGTTCCAAAAAGCAAGCCTTGAATTTGCTGCATCCAGACAACTATTTACATAGCATTGACATTGTATTTATAAGTGTTTACATAATATTTACGTTGCATTAGGTATTGTAAGTAATCTAGGGATGGCTTGAGGTATATGGGGAAATGTGCATAGGTTATGTGCAAATGTTACAACCAGGTTACTTATTGCTAATAAACCGTAGGTTTATGCAAATACTATAAAACATATTCCAATGTTTTATATAAGGAACTTGAGCATCTGTGGATTTTGGTATCCATCAGGGGTCCTGGAGCCAATCTTATGTGGACACCATGGGATGACTATATCTAATTCTTATGTTATTATCATGTTTCTGTTCTAGTGAAACAGGGACATTGGCAAAGTATAATTTTTACTCTCTGTGTATAATTTTGGACCAACTCATGAAATAAACAAATAAGGGAGCTTGTTGTGTCAGTTCGTGTGGAAGCCATAGACATAAGACTAAAAAGAGGCACCCCAGCTTGTTATCAGCACTGTTTTAATAATTCTAAAGCCTTTGATATGGTTAAAATGAATAATTACTAATTGTTCATTTTGATTTTTAAAAGATAACCACGTAACAGAACAACTTAAAGAAATGAAAACTTAACAATTGAGATTTTAAAGCAAATCCTTTTGTATCACATTTTCAGCTGTGAGTCTTAATGATTAACTGTCTCAGAGACACCATGCTATAAAATAAGTTGGACTTTTGGATAGAAACCAAGCTGAAAATTAATTTCAAAAAATTGTAAACAATTCCATTTCTTGTGTGATTATACTAATCTCTACTTCCAGTTCTATGTTTCTTTGCTTAACAATTTACTTTGACAATTTTGTAGACAAAATACAACATATATATCAGTGACAATAGTGTAATTTTACATGGAACAGCCTGTTTAATATGCAATGCAGTCTAACCTTATCTCATTGTCTAATTCAGAAAATATCTAAGGCAACGTCTTCTAAAGTGCATCAGCATAAATGTATTCTCCTAGACATTATCACAGTGCTATTTCCTGAAAAGTCATCTAAATCAAAATATATCCACTCAACAAAATTAAAGTCCATTTTAAAAATGGCATTGCAGTACATTTTTAGAGAACTGAATTTTTATTAAGGCAAAGGTGTTAAATTTACATATTTTCTCCACAGAAAAAGAAAGTGACCACTGGCAACTCTATCAAGACATAGGGTGAGACAAGAGTTATGTTCATCTTTCCCGTGAATTTATAGAATAAATAAGGGGATTCTTACAAATGTAGGTCTGTTTAGTTTCACAGCTTTCAACTAAATAAACTTCCGTTGATTTGTAGGATAGGCAGGCATGTTGTAGTGGACGTGTAGAAAGATAAAACCTAAAACAGAAGAAATGGCATGGTCTTTATGAAATCCTATAACAAGCAAATACCAGAGAGAAGAAATATAAAACTTTCATTTTATATATAAATACTTAAAACATAATGTATATGTAATATAGTTGAGTTGAATTTCTATCAGTATCACAGATAAATAAGATCTTTATAAATTTAAAAGTTATTGATTACAGAACCTTAAATATTTAATAAAAATTCAACCAAAGACATAAGAGTCTAAGAGGAAAGAGAGCATGCTGATTATCACTGCTTATAAAGTAGTCAGACAAATTGAAAACAAAATAATAAAAAGCCTACAAATTACAGGTCTCAGTAAATTTCTTCTAGTGTGGAAAATAAACATTTTTAGGCTGCATAGTAAATAGAATGTTAAAAAGCAGAAAGATTTTAGAGATACATCAATGACCTGGAAGTTGGGTTTTATAGGACAGTGTGCTTAAGTGACAAAGTGAGAAGACTTTAAACCATGGTCTGTGCTATGGGCTGAATCGGGTCCCCTGAAAACGCACGTGTTGATTTCCTTCGCTCCAGGACCTCAAAATGTGACTGTATTCAGAGACGGGGCCTTTCAAGAGGTGATCAAAAAAATGAGGTCATTAGGGTGGGATCTATTCAATATGGCTGGGGCCCTTATAAGAGGAAGTTTGGACTTAGACAGTTACAGGGGGATGGCCACAGGTAGACCCATGGGGGTGGGATGTCCATCTGCAAGCCGGCTGGAGGCCCAGGAGCACAGGCTTGGGGGTGGTGCTGTCCCTTCACTCAGACAGTGGGGCCATCTCCTTAGTTTCAGCGGGCTGAGACACCACTACCCAGAGCCAAGGGGTTGGGACCCCTGCCCAGGGACAAGGGGTCAGGGCCACAGTCCTGGTAGGCCTGGAGGACTACATGTGGATATAGAAAGTGTTATGCTTGGTCCTGAAAATCTGATGGCATTTTCTCTGCCAGGTTTCAGACTTGCCTGGGACCCATCACTCCTTTCCTCTTTAGTTTACCTTTAGAATGGAGATTCCTATCCTGAGTCTGTCCTGCCATTGCACTTTGAAAGCACATAATTTGTTGGATTTCACAGATTCACACCTGGGAATAATTTTGCCTCAGGATGAATCATACCTCAAATCTTACCCCTATCTGATTTAGATGTTAGATGAGATTTTGAACTTGGAGTTAATGCTGGGAAGTATTAAGACATTGGGGCCTTTTGGGATGGGGAGAATTATTTTTCACATGAAAAGGACATGCATTTTGGGAGGCCGGAGGCCAGAGTGTTATGGGCTCAGATTGTGTCCCCTCTAGATTTTCTGTGTTGAAGCCCTAACCCCAGCACTTCTGAATCTATTTGGAGATAAGTTTCTTTAAAGAGGTAATTAATAGCACAGGGAACTAGATTCAGTATCTTGTAGTAACTTATGGTGAAAAAGAATATGAAGACGAATATATGTATGTTCCTGTATGACTGAAGCATTGTGCTGTACACCAGAAATTGGCACAACACTGTAAACTGGCTATGCTCCAATAAAAATATATTTAAAAGGGGGTAAGTTACAATGAGATCATTGGGATGGGCACTAATCTACTATAGATGGTGGATTATGTAGAAATAGGTATGGAGGGATGATCAGGTGAAGACACAGGGAGAAGACGGCCAAGGAGGGAGGCCTCAGACGGAACCAACCTGTCAACACCTTGATCTTGGCCTTCTAGCCTCGGCACTTGTTCTCACTGAATTTCTGTTGTTCAAGCCAGTCGGTCTTTGATACTTTTGTATGGCAGCCCTGAGACAAGGTGTGAGAAAGTCTCAGGAGAAGGCTAAGGGAGGATTTGAGTTATGTGATCTTCTGGAGACTACAAAGCTGGACATGAGCTTCTACTTAAGTTACTGTCTCTTTTCCCAACTCCCTAAATGTCCTTCAGATTGTGCCTCAGGCACACTTGATTTCTATCGCTTAGGGCCAGTGCAGCAATGAAGCCAGGAGCAGAGAAGGCTGCGTTATGTCAGGCAGATACTTACATGTCAGAGGACAGAATCGAATTATTTTCCCACAGCCAGTGCTTGACAGCTCCATCATAGTAGACTCCAATCCAAAAAAAAAGATTTTAAAGAGAAGAAATTCTAGCAACAAACAAGCACATGCAAATACAAAGTCCCCATTACTGTCTTTTCGCCAAGTGTGTGGGAGTACCTTTTAAAATATTCAACATTACATTTATAGTTGTTCAATTCATCCAGTCCACAAACTCACTAAAGCATGCTTTACTCCAAGACCATTTTTAGAGGCTGATAATACAGCAGTGAACAACACAAACTGCCTTCTCCCATGCGAGGTACAGAAAATAAGTAAATATGAGTAAGAAGATAGTGTGGGTTTGGGCACAAGGGAGCAAGGTTTTTGAAAGAATAGAAGTACTCTTACAGATATCTCGAAGATTAATTTTATCCCCAATGTGTATTCTCTGTCTCTTCAGACCCATTACGGAGAGAATCTCTCCTCTATCAGGAGAACTCAGTGGGTATTTTTAACCCAGTACTGATGTACATTGTCAGAGTTAGGGCCATCTCCTCCATCGTCTCACGTAGGGTTCTAGATTCTGATGCAATGATCGCACAGTTTTTTGGACCACAAAGGCTATACCATCGTGGTGCCGGCTACACCAGGCTTTTCCCCCTCTGAGCTAGTCCTTGTAATAACTATCTGCTTCTAAATGTATTCTTTACACATATTTTTTCACCAAGGGCATTCTAACTATTATTTCAAAATATATCTTTCCTCTTTACATAATACATAGATCTGATGCTACGTTTTGCGTATGAAAATTGAAACAAGGTAAACTAGTGATGCCTTTCAACCATGCGTCTAGGACTGAAGTCAGATAAATATAAATGACTCCTCAGCTTAATTCAGTGGATCAACGTCACACATTTCACACACTGTTACGATGCTCAAAGCAACAACTTACCATCTCCTCCCTGTTCATATTTATGAGACTGGAATTTAGAGACGAACAGGCACATTGGCTCTCTGTCCACGTTAACTCTTCCTTGGAGAAGTAGTAACAACTACATCTGAACCAAACCCAGTTCTTTGGACAAGAATGACCGCACGGTTCCAGGCAAAGACTCTCCATCGCTGCATTGAAACAAATGCACAAAGTCTGATTCTGTTGATTGTTTTGTTAAAGACACACCTTGCAAACAGAAGTATACTTTTTGTCATTAGAATAACGTTCTATAAAGACAACAAAAATTACTCATAATAAAATTGTAAGTTCAAAATGAAAAAAATTCTTTTTTATTTTTTTTCCAAATTGTTGCCATGTATTGGGTGTTGGGCCCTTTATATGCCATGTAACGCAGGTGAACTCGGATCTGTTCATCTAAGAGTAGCTGAACGATTGGTTTTCATACTTCCTTACTGTTACCACATTTGGGGACTGGACTATCTTCACCTTACATCTTTATTAGATTTAATTGTTTTTGAAATTTTGTCCTTCTGCTACAAACTAAACCTCTCCAAAAATTTGTTCTCACATCAGGTAATTCTGTCCCCCTACAAACCTATGAAATCTTACAAGAATTTCTAAAAAAAAAAAAAAACAACAAACAAGAAACCACAAAACCTTATCTCTGTCCTCTTGTATTTCAGTTGGTTATACATAAACCTCTGTTTTGCAAGACTGTAAGTTATTTAATGGCTGGGACTCTGTCATATTTTCTATTACACATACAGAGTAACCTGCCCAGAGAAATCTCTATGTTTGTGGACCCAACACAATAATCCTTTAAAATCAGTGTAAGAAATCAGGCTACAGGAGGTGACCATAGCCCAGTGGTAGAGCATGTGCTTCGCATGCACGAGGTCCTGGGCTCAGTCTCCAGTATCTCCATTAAAAGAAACAAAAAAAAAGACGAAAGAAAGAAATTAGGCTTAAACCACTGCCTACCTTCCTGCTGGACTGTGAGAGGTGGTTGTTCCGAAGATGCTGAAAAAATAACCACATATCATGGGTGGATCTTCCTTTAAATTGAAACATCAAAATGAAATAATCGAAGACTACATTCCATAAGAGTAAATCAGCGATTTTCAAGAAAACGAAAAGGGAAGAATTTCGATGAGGTAAAATTGCTCTGAGCCAGGATCTGCTTCACATGTTCTAAGAAATAAGTAACTCTCTCAAAGGGAAGGCAGGTTGGAAGACTCTATAGTCACTTACAGTTGGCAGTAAAAACAGCCACTGCGATGGTGACGGCCATTAGGAGCAGGCATGTGACACCCAGCACACCAGAAATCCACCTCCACGGAAGAGGGGAGATGCTTCCGGAGAGAACTGGAAACACAAGCAGAATCAAAACCAGAAGGAATCGTTGGAGCAAGATGACAGGGCAAATAAACATAAGGCTTAGAGAGTACTTTACAGTTAAGAACTCATCAAATACGTGTTAATTCTTGATTCTCACAAGCCTGTAGAATATTTTTACCCAATTTTAGATAATAATGAAATAACTGACGTAAAAATCTCATTTTTTACGTAGGCTTTTTGCCTAAGATAACAATTAATTCATAGCAGAAGAGAGTCCCTAAGTCACTAATTCTGCCTCCAAATCTTACTCTTCTATTTCATCCTTCTCAACCAAAAGGAAGGAAGGAAGGAAAGAAGGAAGGAAGGAAGGAAAAAAATAAGTAAATTGAACAAGAAAACTACAAAATCAGAACAGCCACTGCTTCATTTAGGCACTGAGTCCTTCCCTACTTGAAAAGTAAAAGTGGCTACATTTTAGCTTAGGAAGTCAACAGATATCATGTGTTTATCCTTCTTGCTCCCACACTTATTCCCTCTCTTCCTTAACTCAGTGAACACACATTAAGGTGCACAATGTGTCATGCGAGTGTGAGAACCAGCGATGGAGGGACATGGAAAGAATGAGACGCTGCCTCCACCCTCGATGGAGTGGTAAGTCCACCAGCTGGAGACAATCGGAAGATCAGAATCAATAAAATGCCAGCTTAATTTTGTCATTCCAACTTTAGAACATTAAATATCTTAAAAAAAAAAAAACTTCGAGGGTCACCTATATATTTCATACTACCTTCCTTCCTTCCACTGAACTTCCTCTTCTGTATTATTAAGACACTCAGCCCTTGACCTGTGTTCTCAGTCAATATCACTGCTGTGCTTTAAACACCCATGTAGACATACTGGTGGGTCACCTGGGTGATGGCACTGATGCTAACTGCTCACTTTCCGTTTCTTATGCCTCCTTAACTGTTCCACTCAGCTGAATCAAATTCTGCCTTCTCTCCTGGGTCTGGGTTACAGATATCTGATGAAGGAAGTCAAACAGCCAGGTACTAATTCACATCAAGGTCTTAAACTTCACCTTGATTCCCAGTGGCATTTGACAATGTTTTATTCTTGGTCAATTTCTCTCATGTTTAGCACCAGTTTTGTTTTTGCTTTTTCTGTTGTTGTTGTTTTTAAATCCACCGCTGCCTATTAGTCATCTCTTCTATGGAAAAGGAGGGAAGATCAAGACTAATAAGCTAAAATTTTTGTTGAGGAAATGTTAAAGGCTTAGGTTCCATTTCATTGGTAGAATATTTCCAGTGACATAGAAGCGTCCCACAGGGCCCTTCTCAGGATCCAAAGGTAACTTTTATCCCTTTTTCTATTGCCACTAAATAATTTTGCTGAATTTAAACTTCATATTATAAAATGATACAGTCTATGAGTTCATTATATAATACTAAATGGAAACTATAAATGAAGAACATAAAAGAATAAGTCCAGAATTATATCTACAAATGACAAACAACAGCTTTATGGGTGACTTCCAAAATGTCTTCTTGTCTGTATTTTTAACATTTTCTCTAATGCACATGTATTCACTTAGTCAAAAACAATGTAACTATTATAATCTCGTTTTTTAGAAGTGAAATACTCACTTGGAATTTTACTATCAATTTAAAACAAATTTACAAAAAAAAAAAACAACCTGTGCTTTCCAACTCTTCCAAACTTCATTCTTCCTTTAAAGTCTAAATCAATTCTCACTTTAGCAGTGAGGTTTCTAAAGAATCCAATTTATCTTTTAAATTATTAATAGTATTTTCCATTTGGCCTTTGCCATTATCTGCATTAAATTGACTTTAAAATTTTTGCTTGTATTATTCACTCTCTAACTAGATTTAGAAACAAGTTTTTGTATCTCTCTAGTGCATAGCATAAATCAGGGTATAATTTTAGACATTCTCTACCTGTTTATTGAATACTCAGTTATAATGTAGCTTACCTTTGTCATTGAAATCTTCTGCTACCTTTTTGTGCTGTCTCTTACAAAGTTTCTGGTGTTTCAGCTCCTTCTTGGTTAATTGCAATTCATTTGTACCAAATTTAGGCTTGGTATTATTTTTTGGTGTGTGCCTCTGCTGAGAATCTTGTTTTAGTGTGGTATAAATTATGGGCTCCACATTCATCTCTATATATATTAAAAAAAGCTGTAAAGAAGGCATATTATAACAAAGAGAGATGAAACAATAATATAAAATCTCAGTTGATAAGTAGATATACCTATTACATTTTCTGGAAGCATGTTCTCAACACTTTGAAATCCCAAGCACAGGAAAACATGCCACCACGAATATAGAAGTAAAGGAATAAGAGAATCCAGAAGAGTTAAGAGCTACTTAACCAAGTCTTAAAAGGAAAGTAATTATTTACTTTGATACAGAATTTAAAAATTAATTCGAGGTCTGCAATGAAGTCATCTCCAAAAATTCCAAGGCTGTTTCTGTCTAACGTCATTGCAGTTTGCCTCTTGAAACTGAATAATAAAAGACAGAGTTGCTGTTCCACTACTATTAGAAATTGAGATGTTATGTTTATTAGCTCTGATCCCCACTGCACGATTCCTGATTAAAACACAAAGTTAACAATTTCACTTTTCCTAAGTGACTCCTTCATTAACAACATGACTGATAAACATCTTTTGTATTATTTTACAGTTGAAGTAAGACCACACCCCATATGTTTGCAGAGCCTGCTAACTTACTAGCTTCTTTCTATGTTTTATATTCTCTCTCCTTCTTATTAAAAAGTAAGTAAACAAAATCGATTAAATACCGAAGTAGCTAAAATGTAAAAGTTTGAAGAATTTGGTTGTAAATTATTGTTTAATATTGGCTGTCAGCTTCAGTGCTGGCAAAACACTGATCAGAACAAGTCACGTATTTGTCAGTGTTCAAATACTTTCAATTTAAACTTCTCAGAGAAACTGTATTTATTTTAAAAGATTACTAGACATACATTAAAGATTTGGGACTAACATACTCCAATAAAGCAAAACTTTGATATGTTGAAGTCTGAAAAAATATTATACTTAATGTTTAATTTTTTATTTAAAGATGTCCAAAAAATAGAAATAGCGCAAAGAATTGTCTACTGGTTACGCCTTCCAGGAACTGGAGGAGGGAGGATTACAAGGGGACCAGAAATGGTAAAACATACCTGGAGTGAGGAGGGAACTCCTTGTGCTAGAATTAGTATGTGTGAGTCTCAGGAAACAGGACCTGGTAACTTGGCACAGAATTGGAAACTGTGTGCCTCAACAGAAAAACTACAGCTGTGCAAAGTTTCATTAACCAACAGGAAACTTTACTCCTTTTTTTTTTTTTGCATTTGTCCTTAGCACCCACATACTGGTGAGATAACCTCACTTCCTGTGACCTAGGTTGCTTAGGAAAACTATTACACACTTTTTATTTTAAGCCATTCTAAATAATAGGCTTTGTGAACTGAAAAGAAAGCATTGCTGAGATCAAATCTTCCTTTCCAATAAGTGGCGTTTCACTAAGGTTTTACCATATTTGTCTCTCTGGAGCCACGAGTCAAGTTAGATTAAGTCATCATGGCAAGATAAAAACTCGTGTTTATACTTAAATTTGATATGTGGAGACAGAGAAATTATATTTATTTTGTTTATCAAAGTTCTCTTTGGGATGTACATCTGATAAGTTTCAGTCCTTTATTCATTAATTTCCTTCAAAAATAATAGCTAAAATGTTACCTCCTTAAATGTGTTGATTCACTAATACACATAATAGAAATTAGCACATGATTGTCATGCATGTGATAGAGAGATGGAGAGACAGAGTCGCCTGTGAAATCCAAGGACAAGAAAATGCCTGGTGTGTTGTACGTGCTGAATAATTATCTGTTGATTCATCCAAAGAATAAATGAAACAGCTGCACAAATACGTATTTACCAACTGTATAAGCAGTGCTTAGGAAATGATAGGATGCTATGGAATATTTCAGAAGAAAAACTGAACTTTTACAGAGTTGGGAAAAGCTTTTCTAAGAAAGGGATGCTTAAGTTGAGCTAAAGATAAAAAGTTGCATTAATTAGTTAAGGGAGAATAAAGGGGTAGTTGTGATCCAGGTGGAATAATGTATATATATAACCTTTGGAGGGACAGCAGAGGAAGAATGGCATGAATAAAACAGGAGAGGCAAAAGAAAGATTATGCAAAATCATATTTAATGCTTTAGACTTTATCTTAAATGTATAGGAAATCATAAACTTTCTTCTAACAAATCAATGTATGTTCACGCTGGCGTTTCCAAAGATGTACTCTGGTTTCAGGGTAGAGACTATTTTAGCAGGGTCCATCGTGGATGTGTGAAGACTAGTTAGAAGGGTATGGTAATCAGTAAGCAGGTTGCTGTGGAGGTGAAGAGAAGTGGATGGATTCTAGAGATATTTCAAATTTTAATTAGATGTGATTTGACAATTAGTTAGAAACGGTGGGAGGCTGAAATGGAGAACCAGGGTACCAGGACAGGACAATTAGGTCTGTGGTTCTTTTGATTAAAACAGTGATAGTAGAGGGGAAACACTTTTTACAATAAGAGACATGGTTTCATTGCTGTTACATTTAAACATCCAAGTGGAGATGTCAAGTAGACAATTCAATATGCAAATCCGAAGCGCAAATAAACCTCTGGGAAATGATTCCTGCCACAAGTGTGAATAAGATGTCCTAAGGGAGCCTAGGACAGAATCTCGAGGAACCCCGCGCATTGGTAAGCCAAGAAGACACTAAATGGCCAAGGTCTACTAAGGCAAAAAGCCCTCAATATGCCAGAGAGCAATTAGGAGAGAGTGTGTGAGGAAGCTAAGGGATCTGGGCGTTTCAAAGAGAATTTTCAACTGCACTGAATGCCAACAAAAGTACATACAATGTATTGTCCAAACTGGGACGCTTTCTAAAACGAAAGGGTATTTTAGTAGGCCGTTTTAACAGGCATATGCCTGGATTGTCTTGAGAAAATTGGGACCATCTGGGATACTGTGTACATAAGGTGACTATCCTATTGAAATTTTTCAAACTTCTCTCTGAATCCAGTGATGTATGTCACCGATTGTCTTAATTATTGCAGTGGATTTTGAAGGACAAAACCATTTTGGAAAGGGTTGATATCTAACTGGGAAGTGCAAAAAAGATGAAAAGACTCATTGGAAGTTTGTGGTTATGAAACAGTGAAGACCAAAACCGGAGCAGCAGAGCAAGGGGCCAGTCGTGCCTCCCAAAGACAGCTGCAGCAGCATCTCTCGTCATTGCTCCACTGCAACTTAACCTCGCAAATCCCCGTTGCGGGGTGGAGTCTGTTTCTCTACTTCACTGAATACGGGAGGGCCTGTGACCACCTTTACTAATCACGCAACGCAGGAGAGATGCTGTGACCGTTCTGAGAGGAGCCACTAACTGGACAATCAGCTTCCACATCCTGCCACTCAGAATTCAGTGACGTAAGTAGATCATGGCTGGATTACACTTAGCATGAGCCATTCCTCTTTAACTGAAATTATCATTAAGAAATGAGTTACTTTATCTAAAATATATATAAATATTTAAAAAGCCACTACCTTTTTTTGTAAGAATATTCTCACAGAGTCAAATTATAATATATGTAACTTAGTGGATACAATTAAATTTATTCACTAAGTTATCATGCTGAGCAAAATTGTCTAATCAATAGAACATTATTGACAGAGTCTTATGGTTTTGATGGAATCTGGTAGAAAATTTTCTAGGGCCAAATTCTCCCATCCGAGATCTCTAGTGTATGTGTTGTTATGGTCGAACCACATACATCTGCCAAGCAGTGGCTTAATTCATTTCTGACTTCAAGGGCTTGAAGCCTCATAAACTGACAGATAGTAAGTGAGTGGGTGTCCTGGTTTTAAGTGGGGGCTTGTAGGTCCTTGAGCCTGATGCGCAGTTCCTAATCGATGACTGATTTCTAGTTCTCAGTCCTCAGGTTGCTCCCTGGTGATCTGTTCAGACGTTTGTTTACTTTCTTTCTTCCCTTTTCTTTGACACTCAAGGAAAATAACAGTATCCAGATCTTTCACATTGTTTCTTATTTACTCATTTTCATTTGAGTAAATTATTCATTAACAACTAGATAGTGTAATGGATAATTGCTTTGGATTTTGGGGGAGAGACAGTATTGAACACGTGTCCTTGCTCAAAACTAAACTTGAGGTTGGGCATTACTTCCTGTAATGCGTTTCAGTTAACAGTCGTGGATAATTGTGTTAATCATTGTAAAATATAAAATTGCTCATTTATTCCCCACCATACAAGAAAATGAGTGCAGCATTGACAATCCAAATGCCAAGATTTCAGAAGACAAATCAAAATGGAGAATTGAACGAGAAATTAAAATCAGCACTTTTCTCCCATTTTCTCTCATTGCTCTCATTGGACTAGAAGCTGGAGGAGGGTCATCCTTCTCCTTAGTGAAAAACTGAGCAAGAACAATAAGGCAGCATTCTAGCCGGTTCCCAGAGCAGTGTCTCCAGTTGAACAAGAGGGGTGGAATGACCAGCAACAGTCAGCCACTCACATTGTGACGTCAGGCGTTCAAAAATGCAAAAAGAACTTCCAGATACAAGTAGGTTTTTAGAAAATGCACACAAATATTTAGGAATAAGGGCACATCATGCCTGCAGCTTACTTTAAATAGTACAGGGAAAACACTTATATATATACATATAATATATATAATACCATATATATTATATATATACCATATATATATACATTCGTGTGTACATATATAACAGACACACAGTGATAAAGGCAGACTTAAAGTTCCCTCCAGCTCAACTAGACCTTATATAGGTTTCTTCCACAATATTGGCCCCTGATCTCCCTTTTCTTAAAAGATTTACCTTAGAAAACTTGCAACTGTAAATTTCTTTTTCTGCCCCCTTGAGATGTAATTCTTCTCCCAGCCTCTTGCCAGTTTGACAGCCCAAGAATGTCTTTCTCAAGGACCTGGGAGACATTTCTTTGACGTGTAATCATCAAGAAAGATAGTGTCTTTATTTTCCAGTGTCTCTGTTAGGAGGGTGGGAGCCTAATTCAGTAAGTGCCAATCAGCAAACACGGATGGGCTAACACATTGACCAACCCTCTCCTAACATCCTCCAGTATTTTCCCCAGCTCACCCCAGCTCGTAAAAACTCTCCCCTCTTCTGTTTCCCCTGGAGCTGAATTCACTATCACTCCCCTTCTGCAATAGTTTTGAATAAAGTCTCCCTGACCTGTGTAACTTGTTCAATTAACATTTGAGGGTTCTGGGTTAAGGTTAGCCACTAATCCCTTATACAACTTTTCACAACTTTTTCTGGAAGTCTGAAATTATTATTATTTTTTTATAAAAGTAAAAATCTCTCCCTTATTGAGCTTACTTGTTAGTTAAAAAACTAATTAAAAAAAGAATCAATATTTCTTCAGTAAACGATTTTCTATATAAACTGTAACACAGATTAACTTAATAATGGATGTGGTAAATTTACTATTTATGGAAAAATTTCAGCCTATAAATGAAAAGGGAATGATTGAATTAAAATATCACTATTTGCCACATGTCATGAGTTAATAGATGAAGTTAGTATTATTATATTTATGATGTGATCTGTGATTAGTACATCTTTGATGTTATTACTGTAAAGATTACGACTTGCTGAAGGCTCAGATGATGGTTAGCATGTTTTACCAATAAATTATTTTTAATTAAAGTATATACATTGTTTTAGATAAAATGCTACTCCATACTTAATAGACTACAGCGTACTGTAAACATAACTTTTATCTGCACCGGGAAGCCAAAAAATTCATGTGATTTGTTTATTGCAATATTTCCTTTATTGCTGTGGTCTGGAACCGAACCTGCAGTATTTCCAAGGTGTGTCTGTAACTGCATTCTTAGATATGGATCACTGTTAATTTTTTGAACAGAGGCATTTCCATGTGTCTGAGATGAGTGTTAGATTTTATCTAGATTCTGAAAGAGACACTAGAAAGTCAGAATAACAATTTAAGATGTGTAATGCATCTCCCTGTTTTGGGAGAGGATTTTTTAAAAGTTGACCATGAACAAGATGATCACGTAGTTCCATCTGGTCCTAAGAGTCTGTGGTCTTTGTTTATGGAAAGGTTATCCATTCTTTTATTAGTGACAAATGGGAAAATGATCCTCGCAGCCAGTGGCAAGTCAAGCTACAGTTATTAAATGGATCTAGCCCGCCACCTTGTGGCTATAAGTGCAATGAACATAATTGTTTCAGAAACCTAGCTGTGACTGAGCAGGTGGAGGCGGGGTTTAGGGGCTGTCTTGCAAGTTAGCTCATCAAAGTCGTTCAGTCAGATCAAAATAGCATCAGAGTCACTGCGGACAGA